AAAGGGTAAAAGGGCACTAAAGTAAATATAATGCAGACACTGGCAAATATATTCTGGCGTCAAGAAATCGTGCCATCGAAACCAGCACTATGTTTTGCATGCCGCCACCATACATCACTTATAAGTTATAGCGTTTGCTTCGGTTTTTCCGCAATTCTTTTTTTGTTTGAATTTTTCCTCTGTTTTCGTGTCAATCGAGTTTTTTTTCGCCTACGGTAAATTACAAATGAAAAGATTTACTTGTGCCACTCGATAAAATACATACTTACATACGTGCTAGTGATGCACATTTTTGGCATCGCTATAGAGGTGCAAAGCTGGAAATCACACAACTTTTTCGGGAAACTTCTTGACACAGTTCGGGTAAAGTATGTTTTCGGTTTGGCAATAACTCAGAAAATTCATTAGGACAAGTTTATTCTCTTTTTCGCTGTTTGTTGTCAAATAAATCAGATTTTAATTATTGCCAACGACTGACAATCGAAAGAAATATATGAGCATTCTCCAAACCAAGTTGTCGACAGTGAAATTGATGCTCAACTTTTCGTATTGCAAAATTCCTTCATATGTTTACCTTCTTTATAAGAACAAATAAGTGGCAGAACATTGAATCTGCTGGCTATGTAGTGCTGCTTTTGAACAACTGCTGTCAACAGCGGCTGTTGGTTACGCCGCTGTTGACAGCAACTCTTCAAAAGCAGCGCTATATAGCCAGCAGATTCAATGCTCTAATAAGTGTTTTTTTTAGCACAGCGCTGACACATTTCGGTATTTGAATCTATTGAAACATCTGTTCGAATGAACAATCTCGTTTAATCTAATTGTCTCTCAAATGATAAAGTGATGAAACCATTTGTAATCGCTCTTGTCGTGGCAAGCAAATACATTACTCAGAGAAATTTCTTACAAAAATGACGAGTTTACGGTATTATTGATGCGTATTCATCATTTTCCCACGCAAATACTTATCTAAGTGATTATAATCGATATATCTAATCAATTTCCTCACTTATTCCAGGGTGTCGATGACAACACGAATAAAAGTCTTTTATTTGATATTGTTAATTGTTTTAGTCTCAGTGGTTCTTGGTATTTTCTATGATCTTCTGAGGAAAATGAACAGGAGATTTTTGGCAGTCAAACTGCAGCATATCGACACAGTCGAAGTGCAGCAAATCGATTGGCACGATTGGCAATTGATCAAAGACGAAAATTCGCGTATTGGCCTAGGCGAGCATGGAGAACCAGCCTATTTATCATTTTATCCACCATATTCGAAAGATATCAATGACACCGTAGGTTACAATGGTTATTTAAGCGATAAAATTGCATTGAACCGATCGCTAAAGGATTTACGGCCAGCCGAGTAAGTGTTCTGCGGCAGTTGGATAATAAAGTTTGAAAATCTTAAATTACATTTTGACTTTTGTTCAGATGCATAATCGAAAGGTACTCATCCCAATTGCCCGGCGCCAGTGTGATAATAATATTCCACAATGAACACTTGAGTACGTTGTTGCGAACGTGCTATAGCGTTCTGAATCGATCGCCGACAGCGTTGTTGAAAGAAATCATTTTGGTGGACGATGCAAGCACAATGTCCGGATTAAGTAAAGACCTGAGCGAATACGTTGATAAGTATTTGCCCATCGTGAAACTCATAAAACTCGATAAACGCAATGGACTGATGAAAGCGCGAGTGATCGGTGCACAAGCCGCAGTCAGTGAGGTGTTAGTGTTCCTTGATTCACATTGTGAAGCATACCACAATTGGTTGCCACCATTATTGGGTATGTAATTTGTGTCATTAAGTTAAGTCCGCTCGTTCGTTTCGACTCGATTGCCGGATGGAAGTGTAAACATTTCATTTTGTTGCAGACACAATGGCAAACGACTATCGGACGGTGGTGTGTCCAACCATTGATATCCTGTCGAGTGATACTTTTGCCCAAAATCCAACAAGTGCTAGCCGAGGTGGATTTGATTGGAATTTTGATTACAAACTAATGCCGTTGTTGCCAACTAGTAAAATGCATCCTTCGAAACCATTTGAAAATCCAGTTATGGCCGGTGGTTTGTTTGCGATACATGCGAAATTTTTCTGGGAGCTTGGCGCATACGATTCCGGACTGGAAACGTATGGTGAGTAGAATATTGTCACAATTTCCAAATGAATGTCCATTAATGTATTTTTTATTTTTTTCAATCGATGAATAGGCGGTGAACAGTATGAACTGAGCTTCAAAATTTGGCAATGCCATGGAAAAATGTACGAAAACGCTTGCTCTCGTGTTGCGCACATCTTTCGATATCGAAAGAAACCGGTCAATGGACATTTGCACTACGATTTCTTCCATACAGTAGGTAAACATTATTAGAAGTGAGCTTAACTCCTCATGCAATGAACAATTTTACCATTTGATAGAACTACAAGCGAGTGGCTGAGATATGGATGGATGAATACAAAGAGCATATTTATAACCGACATCCTTTGGATTATTTAAACATCGATGTCGGTGACATTAGCGAAGCGAAAGCGTTGCGTGAACGACTTCAATGCAAACCATTCAAGTGGTACATGGAAAACGTTGCATTCGATTTGATAGATAATTTTCCGTTGGAAGAGCCCAGTTTTGCATACGGTGGTATTCGGAATTTGGGAGTAAACTTATGCATCGACACAATGAGCAAATATGGAGATACACCACTTGGGTTGTATTCGTGTGCACAAAACATTTCATTTCCACAGCAAACACAAACATTCAGCTTGACATTGGACTATGAGATACGATGGCGTTTTGAAAAGCGCTGTTGGATTAAACATGGAGAGAGAGAGGTTTGGCTGAAACAATGCCCTCAAGATATGCGGTTTGATTATCAAATGTGGAGATATGATTTGGTAGGCATTTTCGAACGTTCCAATTCAATTGTTTCTTTTCTTTTCATTTAGCCGTATTATTCACATTCGTTTCTATGTTTGCAGGAGCACAAATGGATCATTAATAAATTTAATGGCTTCTGTCTCGATATTAGTGGCGGAAATGATAAGCACCTGATTTTGAGTCGATGCAACGCAATCAATCCCAATTTGAAATGGGAATTTGGCAATATTAATCGTACCGCTTACCGAAATGTTCATTCGTTTAACGATGAACGGGTTGGGACGCAATAAAAGGAGATTAGCTTTCTATTAAATATTGAATCATTTACAAACACACTCTTTTGGAGTGAACACAAAAACGACACGAAATCTTATTCATGTAGTATAGATTTACGGTAAACAATTTGCCATCAACATATCCAACGTATGTGTACTAAAAAAAAATGAACAAAACACTCATGGGGTCATGCACTTGTACAAACACACACCAGTTTCAAATAAACAACGTAACATTCAAATCTAATAAAATTTCACTTTTATTGAAATTTCCATTCTATTTCTAGTCCACACGATTCTAGTCACTTTGTTTTTCGTGGCGAATCGATGATATGGTAGAATATTCGGCTACGGGTTCTTTATCGTTGCGAACGTCGTGAGAGCGTTGTTGCTGTTGTGTAACGAAAGTAATTTGATGTGTGTTCGCAAGTTTTGCGTGTGAGATTCTTTGATTGACACAAAGTGTGCAACCCAGTTTTATTTCGTCGCATTGTAAGCCGTCAGCCGTATCAGGTCATAGTAATTTCATCCAAATAATCGCATAAATAATATCGTGATTTGTAAAAATGACGTCGATAACGTACATGATATTTTCACATTTTTTAAAGTATCGAAAGAAATGCTGGCATATTAAACGGAAAATATCAATGTATAGACACGGTTTTGGTGCAACGCTCTATTTTTCTTCGATTATTCTATTGATAATCATATTAATGAATCTTGAGTGGATCGTTAAAGTATTTAAAGACCATATTTATGATAAAGAAGACATTCGAATTGATTGGCATGACTGGAAATTAATCGATGAAGAAGAACAACGGACCGGAATCGGTGAGCATGGTAAAGAAGAATTTTTGTGGACATATCCAGCATATACGAAGAAAATCAACGACACACATGGCTACAATGGATATTTGAGTGATAAAATCGCACTGAATCGTTCGCTAAATGATCTTCGACCAAAAGAGTACGTGTGAAATGGGTCTGTCATCAAAATTAAAAGACACATAATCAAAATCCCATTTCAGATGTATACATGAAAAATATTCAGCCAATTTGCCCAGTGTCAGTGTGATTATAATATTTCACAATGAGCATTTGAGTACGTTGCTTCGAACGTGTTACAGCGTTTGGAATCGTACGCCGTCGAAACTTTTGACCGAAATCATACTTGTGGACGACGCCAGTACCATCGAGGATTTGGGCAATGATTTAGGTGAATATGTGGGTGCGTATTTGCCAATAGTGAAACTCGTTCGACTTAAGCAGCGAAGTGGTTTGATCAAAGCGCGTGTTGAGGGTGCAAAGGTCGCTAAAAGTGAAACATTGGTATTTCTTGATTCACATTGTGAAGCCTATCATAATTGGTTGCCACCGTTACTCGGTTTGTAATTTGCTCGGTTTTAAAATTGCCAACTGCCTTGAAAATTCCAAAAGTAAATAAAAAAAATCCCCTTCCATTTCAGATGCGATGGCTGGTAATTACCGAACGGTTATGCTGCCAACCATAGATGTGATTGCGCACGATTCATTCGCGCATCGGCGACAAATGCATGAACATAAATATGCGAGTCGGGGTGTATTCGATTGGGTTTTCAAATATACACTGGTGCCATTACTTCCATCGGCTACTATGCAAATAACCAAGCCATTCGAAACGCCAGTCATGGCCGGCGGTTTATTTGTAATTACGGCGACATTTTTCTGGGAGATCGGAGCATACGACGAAGGCTTAGATACATACGGTGTGATTGAACTTGAAGTTCAAACACTTCTACATACTTTGACAATTTATCAGTCCTTTTCTCTTTCTTCAATGTAAATAGGCGGCGAACAATATGAGCTGAGCTTTAAAATTTGGCAATGTGGTGGACGAATGCTTGAAACGGCTTGTTCTCGTATCGGCCACGTTTATCGCTATCGACCGATATCCGTTAACTTGCACATCAAATACGATTTTGTGTCCACCGTATGTATGCAAACCATTCTAGCTCTTCGACAGAGTTTGTTGTAATTATCAATTCATTTTCGAAAACTTTAGAATTACATGCGAGTCGCTGAAGTTTGGATGGATGAATACAAACGGTATTTGTATGAAAGACAACCATCGGTTTATGGCCACCTAAATCCCGGTGATTTGAGCAAACAAAAGGCGTTACGAAAGCGACTGCAATGTAAACCATTCAAGTGGTACATGGAACATGTCGCATTCGATTTGATCGACCATTTTCCCTTGGATGAACCCAGTTTTGCATATGGTGGAATTAAAAATTTAGGCTTGAATTTATGTGTTGACACGATGAGTAAAAAAGGCTTTACACCGCTTGGTTTGTTTTCATGTGCAGAGAACATCTCTAATCCACAACTTCCACAGACTTTCAGCTGGACACTGGACCATAGTCTTCGTGTTCGATTCGAGCCTCGTTGCTGGTCCAAAATGTATGGCAATATGGTTTGGTTGCTATCTTGCTGGAAAAATAATAAACTCATCCGAGAAGTGCTCTGGAAATACGACATTGTAAAGTTAAAACAGTCGACGCGCACAAGTCCAAACACCTTTTAACGCCAAACCTTCTGTCTGTTTCTATATTGCAGGAGCGTAAATGGATCATCAACAAAAGTGATGGCTACTGTTTGGATGTCAATACGAAGGAACAGGTGATTTTAAGCCGATGTCGGCGGAATGACCCGAATCAAATGTGGGAGTTTGGCAATTTAAATCGTACAGCATTGAAAACCCTTGGCTATAAATTTAACTAGACTTTTTTATTCTATTTTGTCATTAATTTCTGTGTAAATACATTTCTATACAAGTCATTGCCTTAAAAAAAACACTTGGACATTCTTTCCATCTGTCTGTTTCGTGTTGTTGTTGTTTTTTCTCTCATTCGATAGCGTTCAATGAACTGGAGAAAGCTGTAATGTGAATTTCAGCTAGAGCATGTAGAAATGGCTGCCAAATGGTCGGAATAAACGTGAGCCCACAAAAATTGGACTGACATCGGAAATGAAGGCAAAAATTGAATTAAACTCGTAAAAAGCAGTGGCAGTGATGGAAATTAGATTTACTTTGAAAATTGTGTTTGACTTGCCAGCGTATGTGTGTGTGTGTGCACACCGAGTCTAAATTAGAAACATTTGCACCATGAAAATAAAGTAAACTAGCAATGGAGCTAGCAATTTTCCGAAAAATAAATGGCAAATGTATGCTGAAGCCAAGACGTTGTTCGTTTTGCCCGTCACCATTTTCTCCCTCTCTCTCTCTTATTCTCGCCTCGGTCGTCGTCGTCGTCGTAGTCGCGTTAATCGCATTTTGGGTGCGTGCGTGTTTGAGGCTCTATGCATTCGCACAGAAAACTGTTCCCTGAGGATGAATTTCCGATTTGAAATGGTGTTGCTGGCATGTGTAGTGTGTGCTGCTCGGTGTTTGGTTCATTCATTCGGGTTATATTGCGTTTGGGCTTTGTTAGTGGCTTTTCGTCATTGTTTGCGCGCTGTGCCTACATGCTCCGCACTTGTTTCGATGAAAATAAGAGAACATATGCTGTGTTGTATCGATTTGTTTGAACACTGAATGTATAAGTAGTCGTTATCATAAAATTCTAACGGCCTCAGGTATCTTTGCTATTTCTTTTTTTTCGCCTCATTTTGACATCAGAGCGGATTTTGTGGTGTGCGTGTGTTGTTTTGCCCGTGCATGCATTTATCACCTTTGCTACAATATTGAAACGTTACGGTTGTTCAGTTGATTGTAACATTCTGAGGTTAGACGGAATAAAAATGGCTTAAGCAAACACCCACAAGCACAGGCAGCAAATTGAAGAAAACGACGAAGGAGAGCGAGCAAAAACATTATCAAGAGCAACAACACAATTTACTTTTATTTCATTTTCTACATTTCTGTTCCATTTTCCATTCGAAATGTAATGTGCTGTGCAAAGTGCACACACTCTCCTTTAGCCATTGCTGGATAAAAGTCAATGAATTCAATGGTATGGCGTGTCAAAGGAAAATAGCTTCTGCAAATCGCGTATACGCGCTCTTGTTCACCTCACACACTCACTCTCTCTCTCTTTCTCTCAATTTGGTCGCAATGCTATCGCCTGCCGAACAAATTACATTGAATAATTTTCAGAAACAACAAAACGACAGCAACACATTTAAACGATGACGATGGATTCGAAAGGGGGAAACGTTCCTTTTTTCTTTTATGCAAACGCACGATTTAATTCGAGAAAATGTAGCTGGCAATCGAATAAAATCCAGCCGCGCCGTTGTGTATATTGGTTGACTTTGATTGAACATACACATGCAACGGGTTTTGTTTGCATGAGATGTATCCGAAATGTCGCTGCAGAAATTGATGTGTTGGATTTGGTAAAAAGCAGCAGCAGCCAATGCATTAAATATTTATATTTTAATAGAGCATAAATACAGTTTTTGTTGCTATACAATGAATGTGCACCAAGACACACACACACACTCTCTCTCTCTCTCTCTCTCTCTCTCTTCCACATTGCTGCCATATGCAAAAAATCTGCTCGTTGCGCCCCATCGTTACGTATTCAGTTCAGTTTCGATAAAATGGAAATTAATTTTTTCGGGTGTGGAGGTTAGTTGACCTCCGAATATGTGCGGCATGCATTGCCAAACATTATACATTGAATGCACAAGGTACGAAATTATTAGTTTCCATCGTGTGCACATGCTTCGAGAATATCGTGTTACGTTATTGATGAATTTCTTGCTCTCTAATGAAAATTCATATTCCATTTGACTCCTGTTGCAGGGAGTTGCTTTTCTTGTCAAGACTTTACCCAACCGATTGCCTGCAGTCTGTTAAATTATTGCTTTGTATTGCCAAGTGAAAACCTGATGTGGCTGCTTCTGCTCTTGCTGCTCTTGCTGCTCTTGCTGCTGCATGTGTACGTATATATATTTTGAGATTGGCCCATTGCCCTCAACGGCATTCAATAAATAATTTATGCGTATGCACGGCACATACGTTTACATATTACATTGTGTACAATGGAAAAAGAACACACTTTCTAACTCTAACTGTACAGAGTCGAAAAGCGATTTCTAGTTTGCCACCATATGTGCCACTGAAAATCTATTCTCTTAAACATATTGTAAAACATCTAGTTATTTCCAAGCATTAATCGTTTTGTGTGTGTGTGTGTGTGTGTGTGCGTTGGCAAAAGAAGCATGTGCTTGTGTATGCTTACATGAAATTACATTTAAATTTTCGGCATTCGTCGAAAAGATAAGGAGGCGCCCCAGCCCAAAAGCCCAATAATTTTCCAATGAATTCAAATTTTGACATCACATATTCCGTTGAATAACCATAATAACATGGAAAATTCTCATTTCTCTCTCTCTCTCTCTCTCTCTCTCTCTCTCTCTCACACACACTCACCTATTTTCCTTTCTCTCGTTGCGATGTCGTGTGAGATTAGAGGAAAATTGGAAACATAAATAAATTAATAAATGATGCTAAATGTTCGGTTGAAATCAAGAAATTTTGCTAGACCTGCAGGTTATGAAATTAGCCAAGGTGGCCGTGTATCCGCATTGATAGTAGCTCAAGGGAATGTGTATATATGAAAGCACAATAAAATTCGGTAGTCGTCCGCAATTTTACGATTGGTGTGCATTTGTCGGTATGACGGAAAATGCTTTCTTGAGAGCAAGAGCGAACGAGAGAGAGGAGCACAATGCGGCAATCGGGCCGAAGGTTATAGTTATGATTGGATTCAATTTTTTTTTCATTTTATATCTGGTATATACACAGAGAATCGATTTCCTAACGGACATTGTTTTCTTTGATGTTTAATTTAAATCTAGATGCGGTTTGATTGCAGTGCCAAAGGTCACTCAAACCATTCGCAATGTCTTACCCACATCCTTGGGCGGCCTCTATTCATTTCTCAAAAGTCAATACGTGCGTACAATATAGATATTCAGCAGAGGACCATACAAAGTTAAAGGACATTTGTCCAGATACGTATAGAGATGATGTTCAATGGAATTGGTCACTTACCTGGAAATAAACAGAGAAGAAAATTAAAGTTAAATTTTAAGAAAATATTTGTTTTGAAAATGTTCAGCTTTTGAATCGAATTATTTATAGAATATCAAATGCAGACTCATAGAAAATTATCCAATTTCAAAGAAAAATAACCGACCAAATCAATTGGGAGTTCATCCATTAGACAAATTAGTCCGAGAGACAGAAAAACCACAGAAAATATTTGTACAGTTGGAATTGTATTTCAGAACTTTGCTTCCAGGTACAAGAGGAAAAAGGAAAAAAGAGAGCCAGAGAGAGATAGACAGTGAGAGAGAGAGAGAGAGAGAATGCTTCAACAAAGAATGGCCCAACACAGTGTTTTTCATTCCGAAGGAAAAGAAATTCAATTAATTTACGGTATTTCAAATTTTGCGGATGTTTCACCCAAACATACATAAAATATGTTCAAAGAAAACGCTTCTCAAATTTGCAAAGGTCTTATTTGAAATCTGTTAATAATGCAGAATGGGTGAATTAATGACAGTATGGTTGGCGAACGAAGATTTACATTTTGATATTGTATTCAAATCAAGTTGGAATTTCATTATAACATTATTAAACGGCAACAAAATTTCAGGGTGAGCATTTGAGTTTTTGCCATTCAGCTGATAGTTTACCACTCTTCTATTGGAATGACTTTCTGGCGAGCATAAAAGCAATGAATAAAAAAAAGGACGTAACAAAGCTATTTCACCTTGACAGATCTACTGAACAAATGCCGCAGGTCAAATGATTGCGGATGAATTGTGAATGTTTATTTAGGAATTTAATTTGTGTACATTTCGGATTCCAACATGCGAAAATTATCTCGTAACGCGGCGCGCGGTGTACGCAAATCAGGCTAAATTAGTGTAGAAAAGGACGTGAGCAACATAACTGAAAGAAAAAAGATGACGGTTCATCTTTAACGGCGAAAATATGCTGAGGTAAAAGAATTTCCATTTCGAATAGAATGTCTTTGAGCACACTTCACCCTCTTCGTTCGTGCCCAGCACCGGGCTTGGAATGATTTTTACTCTTACGCCACTTAATTGCTACGAAATACGAAGTGTATACTGTATATACACACCATCACGACGAAAAGTTTGGTTTTCTTTTGTGAAATGCTCACCAAAGTGGAAAATATCATTTAGCCCTCGAATGTGAAAATATCCAAATGGAAAAACCACAGGCTTTGAGTTTGGAACCGCATCGAGAAACATCGGAATGGAGTTTCACAACACAGTCAGTGAAATCGAAAACCAGTGTGCTGGACGTAGACACATTTTCTTCTCCCTTCGCTCGCACATAAGTAAACTCGACGAACAGCAAAGTGCAAACAACATGGTTTTATGACGAAGAAGGAGTGGTGGCTGTGGCAATATCAACGGTGGTGGTGTTTTCTGCTCGAAAGGCAACGCTCAAGCAGAGTGAAACATTAAACAGATCCGTTGACGAAAAACAAATGCCTGGAAAAAGTTTTCAAAACAAATATTATTGTTATTTTGCGATGAGCAGGAGTGCGAACGACGAACGAGGAGCAAATAAGTGTTGCAGGTGGGATGGCCGATATACGGAAGACAAGATAAAAGTGATGGCATCTTAAGCCTGCTTTATTTATGTATAAAATCTTAATGACACCGCATTACAAGTGCGAAAGAGTTTTCGTAAGTTCTCGATGGTTTTTTCTCGCTTATGTTGCCCGTAAAATAAT